GGCGGGGCGCCCTTAACCCCTTCGCCCCCCCGGGGCGCTCCCTGAGGGGATCCCGCGGGGTCCGTCCCCAGGGACGGGATCCGTCCCCAGAGACCGGGATCGGCTCCGCGCCGGGAGGCGAACGGGGCTGTCTCCATGTTCTGCCTTCGGGCTGTCGTGTGGGGGAGAGCCGCCTCCTGCTTGGGTTGACAGACGCGGCAACATCAAGCACCGGTGACCAAACTGGTGAACAGAATAAAGCTGCAGAGAAACCTCCCTCCACCTCAGCACCTGTCACTGGACCTCCCTTAACACAGCGACTGAGGCTGAAATACACACGGGGGCTTTTAGATTCGCCTTGTTTTTTCAACCACCTGAGCTACAGCCCACACGTCCGCCCGGCAGCGCTGTGACACCGATTCGCTGGAGGGCATATTCCCTAACCGGGGGGGGGGGCATGGTGAGGGGACCACGGCACTTCCCAACAGGTTTCAAACCCCAGACTCCTCCACAGTGTCCTTTCACGTGAACCACTCTTTCTGTAGATGCGAGTGAGCTAATTAATGATTTACAGTGTTTTGAAGGTAAGCATCATGTGTACTAAGAATAATATTGCTTGATGTTCTGCATCACGTTTTATTAAAAGCAAACTGTCAAATCAGATAACTGCTTAGCTTAAGTAGCTGAAACTGGTAATTGTCTAGATGTTTGTTCAAACACTGAAAATCCCTGCTCACAAGTATTCCTTAGCAGTAGTAGTGCTGAAGCTGTAGTTATCAAGTGACAGAGATAAGCAAGGTTTGTAGAGAGGTAGTATTGGTGGTTACAGTTGGGAGAAAAAACAGATAATGTTCCAAACACAAGCCCTTCACGTGTCCTTTACACGTGCAAGTAGCTCCACAAACTACAGCAACACAGGCCTTTGTGCATTTGCAAAACCATATGCTGAATTTTCAGCAGCTGCTTCCACAGAGCATCTTTTACTCACCAGGAGTGAGTAAAGATTTTCATTAAAAATTGCACACAACTATTATACCATGATGCTCACTTACATGGCATTTTGCTGCCAGATGCTACATACTGCAGCTGATCAAGACTGCATTCACAGTTTGCTTTCCACAAGGAGACATTTTTATATATAAATACCACTGTCTTTCAGATGGCATTTATCTTTTCTTGGGATATTATACAACACTGTCACTATCCATACGCTACTTTTCTTCTACTCGAGTAGAACAAACCCCAAGAATTGTGTGGTCGGTTACTCTGGCTGCACAGTGCCTGAACTCTAGGGATAAAGACAGTGAAACGATTCTTCAGTGAGTCGTAAATTGGGACGGGTCTTTTTGTTTTGTACACAAAGTCCCACTTTGGAGTTCTTCTCTCAAAGCCAGCAGTAAAAGATCTCACTTTTTCACAAAAATGTACAACTGTAAAAACAAGTAAAGAGAGAAAGGTGATGCACAACAACTTGATATCTAAAATTCTGCTTGACAGAAAAATAATATGAAGGTATATGTAAGAACCAAGCACATTCAACATCAACATCTTACTACATTTAGTTCTGGGTATCAACAAAGCATTGCTCAGGCCAAGTAATTTTACGGTTCTCATGTTTCACCATTGAGACTAAGTCAGGTCTTACTTAGCTTTTGCACCATGATAGCCTCTGGAAGCCTGAATCCTAGGCAGGATTCCAGGGTATAGTAAGCTATAGCCCCTCCTCCAGAAAGTTTACATATACAGGTACCAAAGAAGAGTAGTTTCAATTCTAGAGTATCATACATGTTCCTTTTCACTATGTCATTCTGTTTGACCTCTGAATAGTTTTGCTTTTTTTCTAATGTTACAACAATTGATGCTGAAGCTGAAGACATTCAAGTTAGGGTTTTTAAAAAAAAATTCACTAGCCAAAAGGGAGAAAAGTTTTGTCCTTGCTACAGGGGAAACCTAAAGTTTGTAACTTTAAAAACAGGTAAATATGAAGTGTCACGTTTAAAGAAAGGTGCATTTGGAAGAGATTCTGCAGGCAATCTATAACTGGTGAAAACAGCAAGGATGCTGTATTAGAATCTAAGAGTAGTGCCAACTAATCAGGTACTTCACACAATGAGGACATACATAGGGTTATGAAAAAGAAGATGTAAGATTCCACACGGATACTAAAAATATTAAATCTTAATGCCTACTCCCAGGTGATCATGTTACTGGATCTCATATGTCAGAATGGTAGTAAAAAAAAGGTAATGAGTAGAATATTGTAATACTAAGGATACAGATTATGGACATCTTACCTACAGCTTTCTTTCTAATATGCAGTTTCTTCAAGCTCTGGCTCTTGTTTCTAATTCAGGAACCTGATTATAAATGGCAGTAAGGTATGACAAAACCACAGCATATCCTGGGTGGCTGTAAACTCACTTAAAAATGCCTACCATTTATTACAAGAGCATCCAGACAATTATTTTTTGTTAATAATTTATACATGGATATGAGTTACCTTTTCCTTCCACAACTTAGTTCAGCCATTTTCTGAAGAATGACTGCAAAGGACACACGAGGAATTTCTATATCTCAGTCCCAACATGGCTATTTACAAACAATGATGACCTTAATCAATACAAGTGTGCTTTGTATTCTAAACTGTAAAATGAGAATATTTATTTTCTTTGTTCATAGATCAACAAACACAAATATCACAAGACTGTGTAGTACCAAAACAGAGAAACTTACTATTCCTTCCTCAGAAAGTGTAATGTTCCACCTTCCAGTCTAGCCTAGCCTTCCCAAATTCTACTTGCCCCATTGTAAAAGCTTTTTTTTTGGGGGGGGGGGGGCAGCGAGGGAGGGGCAATTGGGCAAAATTTCATTCAGTACCTTCAATCATGTCTTGATCAAATTTTGGATTAAAATTGAACCCTGCTTCTTTTTCAAAAAGTACTTCTCTCGTTAAAATACCTAAATGTAGGTAGGCACATAGAAGATTTAGAGAACACCAGCACAAAATCACTAGAATGATGTCAACTCCACAAGAACTTTCAAGAAGGCATGAGGGAAACAACAGAGCGCTACATGAAGCAGATCTGAACTTCTTCAACACATAAACAGTTCACATGAATTCTGATTTCACATGTAGCCTCATAAATTTGTATAAAAACATTTTTTACTTTATTATTATTACAACAGGTGCAGTAGATAAACATTAGCATTCTTTCATTCCATTATTTATTTAAAATGAGGAATAACATCCAGTGACCTCAGAATACCCATGTGACATTTCACTCTTCATGGCCTTCATGCACTAGAAGATTTATGGACGTATTAAATCCAGAATTTTAAAATATCTATGCTCCCTAAATTAGTGACACTTTTATAAAACAGGTTCTTGGCCCTTTCACTGACTATCTTTGCACAGTCCAAAGCAGCTCTCTGAAAGCCAGAGACAATCACACGATCCAACTTGGAGGCATGAAATACTGAAACTGAACGAGCTGCTATTATAAATTCTCTCGCTCCACATCACCCCCCCTCCCAATAATCTGATGATTCACAAGGAATAGAACCAAAACTGAGAAAACTGAAAACACAAAACCACAGTGACTTAAAAAATAAACAAAAAGCCCAACCCAAAACAACCTGACTCACAACTGACTTTTGGGGTTTTTTTAGGGGAAGGTACACAGAAGCCTAGCAAGACAAGGTGCTTACTGAATCAGGTTCATCAGCCTTTTCACAGCAGCACCCACAATATTTCATCCCAAACACAGAAATAAAATATATCTGCATGTCCATGCTGTGTAGTACAGGCAAAGCTGGGATGCAGATCTGTAACACGTGCATGTGCATGTTTCCAATACAGGGGGATTGCATCATGGAATTCACCGTAACACAAATAATTCATGTGGTCATTCACAGGGACTTCACATAATCCTGACAATAAGAAAAAAGCAGCCAAGGATTCCAGTTCTTGACAAAGAATGTGAACATAGCAGCTCATTTGTCACCTGTAGCACATCTACCTACTCAGCATTCAGCCTTGCTAGCTCACCTGTGGATAACAGCAAAGGACAGGACAGGAATGTTTGTACCAAGTAGACGCCAGGAGCCTGTATGAAGCTCAGAGCAGAACATTTATGTTTTTGGCACATAAGCTATAGTTTTAAGCTATTTATTAAATACCTTTACACAAACTGTAGTGAGGCTGTCTGAAGTTCCACTTACACAAGTACTGTATTTATCTGCAGTACAAGCCCAAACAGTTAAGGGGCACCAATAGTTAAGGTCACAAATCCATAAAGTGTGTAATAGAACTTGTCATTATATAACTGAGTACACCAGCAACTTATCAACTTCCACTACCCTGACACCCACAGTTAGTACACCTGAAACCAGGGCCCAGAGCCAGGTGGTTTTGTCCATCAAATTTGCTGTGAAAAAACCCAGACCGATACTTTACTAATGAAGGAACCTCAAGAGGGTGCATGGAAAAGTGTTATTCTGTGCACATGACTAGCAAAATTTAGACTCAAATGTTTTCATCTTACTTTCTCAGTCCACCCCCCTCACTTACTCTGATATGAGATTACCACCTGCTGTAGATGATCTAGAGCTAAACACAGACACAAGCCGGGGGAATTTCTCCGACACCTCTACCCTCCTTTCAAATGTTGCTGGTATTTTTTAGTGACTATAGTCCCAGTCAAGAACAGGTAAATCAGCCAGAAAAAAACCTGCCCACTCAGTTTTCATGAGAAAGTCAGGCTTGAATAAAAATATACAAAACCATACTTTTTTATTGAAAAGTTATTCTGAGTTACACAGTTACAATGGAGAGATAACAATACATTGTACATCGCATTTATTCCAAAGAATTCATATCATAGGGCTCCAATGATAGCTTATTCTGCAAACAACTATCAGTTTAAAACATGTAACTAAGAATAACTAAATCATATGATTTTTAACAGTAGTGGTCTGTAGTAGTTTTACATCTTTCTATCAGAGTTTATTTCTTCAAAATCTGGCAAGGTTAGGCCTGATGTGTAATTATGCATCACCAGGAACCTGGAGCACAGTAGTCCATGAATGCTTATCTGTGCCCCTTTTTGAATGCACCTGTAAACCTAGAGCAGGTTTCCACACATTCTTTGACTTGACAATACTTTTTGAAGAATAATTCAGTATTTTCAGATTGTATAGTTTCATTCTGGTAGGGCTAAACTGGTAATTTCCAGTCTTACTAAGTAAACCAACCAGCAATGTCTGACTTTCAATTTCATATCCATTTTCTTGCTGATGCAAGAAAGCTTTTTCCACTCTTCCAGTTTGCTAACAAAGTACTTTGTTTACTTAATTTAAATTGCACCAAAAAGCTGGGTAAGGAAACATATTTAATACTCTCAAACCAGCAACTTTCCCAGTAGTTTATACACAGGAACAGAGGACTAAAACAAAGCACCTAAGCCAGTGCATCCAGTTCCCCATACTCTTGTAATAAACACCTGGAGAAGAATAAAAGGAACTTCATGTCATCAGCGCACCAGACAAAACATTGCAGCATCTCCATTAAGTGCTGCTGTTCTCCCTTAAAAATAAACAAACAAAAAAATCCAGCCAAAAACCCAAAGCCAGATAACAACACCCCACGCCCAACAACAACTACTACTGGATACCAAAAAGAAAAAGGAAGAAAGTTTTGTGTTTTGTCAATGCTTAAATATTCTTTGGGAAGCACAGTGGTAGAGCTCTGTATCCTCCAGTACCTCTCCTCTTCCATCTCATCTCTTTATTGACTGTCATTAAGCAGAGAAGACCAGCACTCAGTATCTTTTTCTTATCCAGTAAGTGAAGAGGTTGTCTTTTACCCAAAGAAACCTTTAACAGGCAAACTGATTTCATAAAAGCAACCTAGGGTTAGGCTGATTGGAAGGTTCTCCACTTCCTATATCCTCTCCACAACTGATATGTTCTGTAGGCATGCTAGAAAAAAAACATAGGGCTGACCTTTAAACTGACATCAACTTACAACTAATTTTAAAGAAGATACCTGAAATGCCTCTATCTCTCTCTATATATTCTTCAGATTATCACTGCAGAATGAGACTAACCCACCGTATTACCCAAGAGGCTGAATGCAAATTACACAGTAAATATGATTCTGTGAGTTCAGCTGTTCAAATAAAGTTTTAATGTACACTTGTTGCAAGTGATAACAGTTCACTGAAGACTGTGCAGACTGTCTGTAGCAGGAGTCAAAAAGACAGAACAATATGCAATTCAGTGTTCACAATTCAGTTGAATAAGCCTCTGCAAAAACTTCCACCAAAGAATTTCCCAATAATATCATCCTCACGTAGTACCAGGCAATGTCAAATTCTTATGTATAAACTATATGAAATAAATTTAATCTACAGAGAGGCAGTTTGCTGTGACACTGAGTTTGTACAACTATAACTAGACATGGAAGTGTTTCTATGTATTGTGAATTATGCTTTTATAGTGGAATATATAATATGCATCTACTTAAGCCACTAGAAAAATTAAGATATAATACTGACAGGAACATCTCTTTCCCTAATATTAGCACATTATCTATGTCAGTACATCAAAGAGAAAAACACACCTCTCACACTATTAATGCCCAATCAATTTGTGAAGACATAAAAAGGGCTTTAGGCTCTTTCCCATCTGTAAAGTATTATTTTGGAGATCAGAGATCAACAGTATTAAGAGTTTTAAATTTTCCACCCACATCTGAAATTCCAACTATTTCAAAGGTAGCCTTCAGAAGCTTTATTAATTCTCTTACTACTTTTAGAAGTCTTCTGACAAGTGTGGAAGAGTATCTGTTTAGGAGATGGGAAGCAGAATTTAAAAGCTACTTGATATTGAGCCAAAGTCCCAAGCAGTTGGGTGGTTTGAATCAATCAATCCCAAATGTAGAAATGCTCAGTTCATATCAAATGAATCATACAGATATTCACATATTTTTATTTTATACTCAGCACACCAGCACAGATTCTTCCTCAAGTCTTATGTCAAGAACTGCCAGTGCTTTATTTAAGATGAGCCTTATGTACTATTGTGATATTAAATTGCTTGCAAACACAGAATCTTTATGCTGTTCGTACTTTTTAATGTTACCTTAGGGAACTAGAACTGTTTCCACACATACTATTTTCAAAATGCAAAGAGGAAACCCAAATAACCAGCAGAAGTTATTCTAAGGCACAAACAGATCTCGGCACCACCACTCACGGAGTAACATTTCAAAGAGGAGTTTTTAATTACACAGCAGTGCTAAGTCACAGCCATCATGCGTAGGACATGTGCTGATGCTGGGCACGACAACATCAGTTCATCCCGGCTGCAATCAACAAAAAAATCACTGTAGTTGTGCAATCTTATGACAAGCATATGCCCAGAATAATAGCACTCACTCTGCAACTTCTACTCAGTTCCTATTAGAGGATTATAACTCGTTATTCATGAGCATTAATGCCATCTAGACACAGTTTTTAAATCTCTCTCAGGAAGTGTTAAAAATGCTAAGAACGTTGCCGTGGTAGCAGACATATTATATTTAGTAAATGAACTCTGAAGTATTCCATTGCATTAGTTAAGCATTCCACTATATTTATAATACTCAAACGATTTTGTTTTTGTAGAAAATCATCAGCATCCAGAGTACAAATGACAACAGGGGAACAAAGAGCTCACATTCTATTGAGGATCCTTCAGGAAGCTGTAAGTCTGAGTGCTGACACAGTTAATGTGTTGTTATGAGTACCTCTTCTGAAAGGCAGAGCTTTCATAACAGTATGCAGTTTCCTAATTCTTTTGCCTGAGCTCCAGAGTCATATATGCTAAAAAAATCTTGTCAATTGCAAGGTACACGTTATATACAAATGAATAAAAATACAGCCCTAATTCACATTTATAAAGTATCTGCTTTTGTTCCTTAAACAGTAACAGTACAACGTATTTTGTTCAGAATGATTTTATTTGGATTATAGCAATTAGTATCACTGATCAGTAGGCCAAGTCCAGGCAGAGAGCACAGAATCAATTTCACAAGGCAACAACACAGACTAGTATTTTAGCATACAAACCATTTCACTGCATTATCAAGTTGAAATATCTTTCAACCATGCATAAAAAGTCTATGTTTAATCTTTCAGAGCTCCAGGTAATATCAGATTCCTAAATATACAAAAAATACATTTAACTTATAATAATCTTAGTGAATCAGACTTATAAAATTACAATTTTATTCTTCACAACATAGAAAAAAATACAAAAATGACTGTATATAGTTTTCACCCAAATTTCACTGACATATACATCAAAATGCATGATTTGATGTATACTCATGAAAATTTTAAGCTGAAAAAGGTTTTCAAATGACACTGCAGATTGGTCCACACAAATGTCAACCTTCATTATGATAACAAAAAACCCCACCTTTAATAGAAACATCACATTGTGAAAAATTACAATTTACCTGCACTGTAACCTGCATCTTACTGTAATTTACAAGATGAACATTGCTACAATTCCAGTTGTAAACTGTACACTGGTAAGAGCCTTGGTCTTTTAGAGGGTAGTGAGTAACTCAAAGCCAGCATGGTAGAACATAAAGTGCTGTCAACTGAACCAGTGCACACAACAGAGACACCAAAGCAGAGAACGCCTGCTGGTTTGGATATGCTGACAGAGAACATGCAAGCTAAGTAAATAGTCTGTGGGGAAAATAAAACCCTCTACATTTGTGACAAACAGTACCAATCAAAGCTTCTATTATAAAGTTCACACAAACCACATTACAACTTCAGTGACAGATGAGGGGAAATTTCTTATTTTATGAGGAAAAACCCCACATGTGTGACCAAAGTCAATAGGAACAACCCAAAGAGGATTAGGGCATCACACTACAGTTCTCACTCAAGATCACCTTCCAGTGATTTCCATGGAAGATAAACTTGAAAAAGCACTGCAAGATGAAGTGCTGAATTTTTGTGCATACTAACTGCATGTTCATACTTCGGAATATAATTTATAAATCAACTTTGCTGATAAAATTTCTTACTAGCAAAGCAATTTCTTTTAAAAGTCTGTAGCTTATTTGCATTTGTGCGGTAAATTAATATTTTCAATTAAAGTAAATATTCCGTGATAAAGCTTATTCAGTAAAGGTGTTGGTTGTACAAGTTTCCTCCCAACTGGCAGCACGCTCTGCTTTTCCATGGTGCCAGTGCTATCTGATTGTACTGTACACAGATCTGGACTGTATCTTTCTCATCAGCAGAGCCAGCAGTTTGTTTCATATTGGAGTATTACACAGCCATTTTTTTTCCTCCAAATTGGACCAACAAATTTGAAACCAAATCTTTTATTTGGGCCCAGAAATCAAATTAAGAAAGTTCAGGAGCTGAGCATCGACAATATCCAATAACCTAAGTACATTCAGGAAATCAGATCTTTTAGATGGCATCCTTCAAAAATACTGACATCACTTTCTTTAACAGCAAGTATAAGCAAAAGATGTTTTGTTTGGAGGTGGAAATTTACAGTTTCAAACGAGTTCAGTATAATGTAACATTTCTCAGATGACTACAACAAAGCACATAACCTACTGCAGAAATTAACTGAACTGTTGCATCTTCGAATCCAAAACCAGTCTGAGGCTGTATATGGCCACAGTAATAAAATCACAGAATTGTTTAGGTTGGAAAAGACCTCCAAGTTCATCGAGTCCAACCTAACACTGCAAAGTCCCACTAAACCATGTCCTTAAGCACCACATCTACACTTCTTATAAATACCTCCAGGGATGGTGACTCCACCACTTCCCTGGACAGCTTGTTCCAGTGCTTGACAACCCTTCTGATGAAGAAATTTTTCCTAGTATCCAATCTAAACCTTCCTTGGTGCAACATGAGGCACTTTTCTCTTGTCCTATCACTTGTAACTGGGGAGAAAAGACCAACACCCACCTTGGTATAACCTCTTGTGTTTTTGAATAGTCAATAATAGGCTCCAAAGTGTTTAAAATAGAAGCAAAGATTATTATTGTTTCTTACCCTCTCTCTCTTTAGAATAGCCCTGTTTGTGTCTAAACAGGTAATGTGCTATATACTGAGAATTAGGAAAATTCAGACTTTTTGATGGAGTCAAAGAAAATTACTGAAAAATGCAAAGTTTTTTAAAAAATATAGCTCTGACAAGCATAAACCTAAATAATTGTAAATCCAGCTCTTCCCAAGTGCTAGAAAAGAAAGCCCGTGCGCTCAGTACTTACTGGCTGTGTTTAGGGAGAGCTGGGATGTGTTGAGCACGTCCAGGGGGAGGTGCTGGCAGGCACAGCATGAGCCCAGTACTGCAGGTAGCATGGCAGGGGTCACACCTCATTTATGCACCAAATCATAATGTTATAAGAGGGAAGCCAGAGAAGCCCATGTGGTGGTGTCTAGTGACCCTGACTGGGTTCACACAACACTATTTGGCTATCAATTCCTAACAGAGCAAAGGCCATAACCTACATTTCCTTTTGTCTTTGCTTGGGTATCTGTTCATTTCCCTGCTCCCTTTGCCCCTTCCATTCCCTACCCTTTTGGCCCCGTCAAAAGTTTCTTAATAACCTGGGGCACTGCTCACACAGCATTAGTGCTTTCTGCCTCACTACAAGGCTTTTTTGTTCTCTGTTTTACCTTCCCAAGGGAAAGCTAAGCCAGAGAACCCAGAAGAAGCACCGAGAAAAATATAACTTTGTGTTCTTCCGCTCTTTCAAAAGAACAGATGACGAAAGGCTTGTCCAGTCTGCAAAAGCAGCATGTAACACATGAGATAATCTGTTTTCAAAAGAGCAGCTTATGACTTTGCAACACTTCAGAAGTTGAGTGCCTGGAACTGCCTGGTTGAATGTGCCACAGTGATACACACCAGTCATTTAAGAAAAGTTAGGCTGAGAAACAAGACCCCCAGATGACTCCACAGCAGACCAAATAGTCCTCCGCACTGAAAGATGAGTATCACTGACAGTGATTAAAGATGATAATTTAAAGTAAAAGAGGGAGAATTGCACACATTTCTGGTGACTTGCCTCCTTATCTTGTTTAGATTCATTACTGGTATCACTAGAAATATTACAGTTAGTATTAATTTTAATTTTTTTTAATATGTAAAAAAGTATCCAGGGATGCAGTACTTATAAGGAGTTTTAATGTTTCAGATAAGCATTACAGCCTCTGAATCAACATTTGCATTTGTGTACTCAGCTTAAACAAGATCTTCAGAGAACACACTCTGGTCAGACACTGTACTGTTTAAATTCCTAAAGAACTACATTCCCCTTATTTCCCGTAATTGGTTTCTTGTTCTTGTTCCCGTCACCTTCTAAATACACAACCTACCTTTCTAAATTCAAACACTTTGGCCAGATTACATTCTCCACTGAAGTCTCTGACATTATCCTGAAGTATTCCAGAGCATATTGTTTGCTTTCACAGCCATACATACAGTTTCTGGCATGCAGTCAAGCACTTAAAAAAAAGAGGTATTGGTAATATAATCCCAATTCAGGCATTTAGTGAGTACAACTTCATCACTCATACTGCAACCTTCAGGCATTTAATAATAAATGAAAATCATTTAGCACATCGTTTAAGGAAAATGTTAACTGCCAAGCCATATAAAGTTTAAAAGTTTTCTGAAGCACTGTAAGCTGAAAATATTTCAATGTTTTACACTGTGGGATTTCAGTGGAATCAGATTTATTGGTTATTCTTGCTAAATTATTGGTCTTTTACCTCAGACTTATCTTGGTATATTCTTTACAAATGTGCTGGGTATTGAAAAACTGCAGCATTTTGATGTTTGAAAAGTTCTGAAAAAGTGTTGGAATTACTCCGACTTCCTATGTTCTTCAGTGTGGGAGAGTACCTTTCGCCTCTGGTGTAGCATATGAAAATACAGCTGAGGAAAGACTGAAGAGAAAACAGATTCAAGTCAATAAAGTTTGAAGCGAGGTTTGCAAGTCAATGCAAGATGCAGATTCACACAGCCAAGGTCACCAGTTCCCCATTAAAAGGGAACATGCTTATCCACTTTTTGCTCAAGTTATCTATTGCCTTTTACACTTTAAAGAGAAGTGGTATGATTCTTAGGCTTCAGGTATTATTTATTTTTTGCTAGAGCAATCACATTTTTAATTAAATGCAAAATGCCATATTTAACTCTGCCTGTACAAGCAGATGACAAAAGTTTCCTCAACTGCATGCACACAACAGAAAGAAAAATGATTGCAGGGAGGAAAAAGCCCTTCCAAAAGAATGAAATTTCCAGATTTGTTTCATTTCTTGCAATTCTAGTGTTGCTTTTTCAGAATATATGTCACTTTATATGAACTGGTGCCTCTTTTCTCTCTCTATCCTCCACGCAAAGCCTTTTCTCCTCTTGTTTCTAAGATCACGTTACACAGTCTGTTTGCAGAACAACAAAGTAGGGGATGGAACATAAACAGCAAAAGCTAAAATTTCCATGAGGCATTCAACCTTTGTGAACCGTACAAAAATTAAACAAGGTCATCAACAGCCTAAATTAGTTATATGTATGTTAATCCCACAATTATTAGCCTTTCCATTACATCTAGTAATACTAAAAAACCTAACAAATTCATACTTACTTGGAATGTAAGAGATCATAACCAGGATCAAGAACGTATAGTAGTCAAAAGAAAAATTGTACTTGTTAGGTAAACTAATGGAATACAAGCCAGACTGCCTGACGAAGGGTAATGCAGCATATATTGTGAGTAATTCGCCTGAGACTCCCATTGGATACAATACTATAAACAAAGTGTACCTAGAATAAAACATTTACAGAAAGAATTAAAATTTACAACAAACTCTGACAAAGTATTTGTTAAACGATATTATGGATATTCAAATTATAAATTCTCAACTGAGGATTTATTTTCCTTAGTTCTTATTTGATTAGAGCATGGCAAGGTGTGAACGTTATTTCAAGCTAAGTGTTCAAATCAGCAAATAGTGTGAAATATATAAAGATTACCTTTGAGAATCTAAATACTACCTGTAAAACTATTCTCCCCCCCCCCCCAGATTTAATACTTTCATCTGGTGGAATGTCATTATACTACTCGTTGGTGGAGGTCATTATACTACTTAAAAAGTGCCAAATATAGTTGATGTTAATCAATGAGCTTAAAGACTATTTCAAGTATAACTCTTGGATTCAACAGTTACGGTTAAATGTCAGTTTACTTACTGTCACCCCTTACTGTTAAATATCAGTTTCTACTCTTTCAGCTTACAATGAAATACATCTTTTTTAACTCCAAAATCTGCTGGAAAGAAGCTGGGAAGTCACATTCACAAACAGGGCAATTACCTCAAGGCAAAATCTAATTTTTTGTACTGCAGCTATTTTACAGGATAAAGATCTCTGTCAAATCCGTGCTTTAAGGCTGTGATGTCTATTGTGCTACCAACCTGGCCCATTTGATGAGATAAGGGAGATGGTTTAACAAGCTAAATGTGTAAAAGGAGTAGCGGATAATCTCAGTGATTGTCCAGGCCACTACAAACAAGAGGACACTGTCTTCAGTTTGTACCTGCGAGAAAGAAAAGAAAGCTCAGTATCAATTCAAGCATTACCAGTTACTCACCAGACCCAAGAAAACCTCACAGAAATCAATTCCCGTGGGTTGCTTTACTGCATCATTTTAGAGAACAGACTCCAAGAATGAGCTTAAAAGCAAAATTAGTAACAACAGTAAAAAAAACCTTCTTATCACGCTCTGTATTTTTCTAGTTGCTTAAGAACAGCTCTGCTTCATGATGAGGTAACTTAAGATCTCACATTCTGAGCAAGGTAAATTGGTGCAAGAAATCCTGAAAATACTGAGTATAATTCAGAACTCTTCCCATTCCTGAACAGTACCAGCTCCTATTTCAGTCCTATGATTGTTTCCTAGTGCAGCAAACAGAAAGGATGATTACTCTCACACTTGATATCTGATTTACACTTTGTATTCTGCTCCTGTTCATGCTACTTCTGAGAAGAAACCGTTTTCCTCTCTCTACAGGTGAGAAACTGGGCCCTACTTTTAAGCAGCACCAAAAGAGCTAACACCAGAATCAAGGTTGGCAGGAGAGACGAAACAGCAGACCAAATTGTCTCACCTCAGGTAAGCTTGACAACTACGTGATTCACTCTTCCTTGCTCCATTTTCTGCCTATTGTATCTAGCATAGTTCCTCTAATGTTACACTCAAGGCACTGCATCATGTTTCACTGCTTTACACCTCTTGGAGCTTTTGTCAGTCACACATCACTGAACCAGCTTTGATTCTCCCCATATTTTGAAGGTTAATCTTCAGAAGCACGTGTTTTAAAAGGAATTGTTATATTTATTAGATTTTGGATCATCATTATGAGGTTCAAGTTTCAGATGGAGTAACAGTGCTTACGTAGTATATATTGGGTCACACTCCTGGCACTACAAACTCTTGAGAGAACAGACATGATTTTTATGCAGCCTTTCCCTTCTCCCTCAAGCCTCCAACAGAATTCCCAGCTGTACGAGTACCTTGAGACCCAAGTCAGCTGACCGTGGGAACAAAAAGAGCTCAACCACAGGGCCTACATTTTCTCTTTTCCTCCAACTCTTGAAAAAAGGGAAAAGGAAGTCTGTAGGTGTGAGTGGTGCACTCTATTCATCTTGAGCAAAGTACATGTACCAGTAAAAAAAAAAAAAAAAAAAAACAAGAATAATAGGAGGGGACCGATCATATATTTTTGTATGAAAACGGTCATGAGGATTACCCAGAAAAAGCTTTGTTACAGACTGCAAAACCCAGGAAAATATGCACATGAATCTTGAGCTATCCTGGAATGTAGGGCTGCTGTTATTCTGTGCTCTGCTGCATATAACACTTCAGGTCACTTCTACTGCATTTTGCAGCAAATGCACCTTGTTCATTTTACACATGAAACTCTGAAAATTTATTTATATATTAATCTACCTTGCATCATCATAAAAGAGCAAAATCCAAAAATTATCTGAAGATTTTCAGACAGGAGTCCAAATCTATTTTTACATTGCTACAGAATCCTAATCCTATTTGAAGTCTGCTTTATAAGCAGGACTTAGTTCTTAACAGGGAAAAGCTAAGAGCACTTCATAGATGATGCTATTCCAAAGGAGCAACGTGCTTCACAAGCGCTCCACAGCTGCATCTTCTGGTCAAACTGGGAGTAGCAGCTTAGTGGGTTCATCTAAATGTGTGTCATGGACTTCATTCAACCTGTACTTAGAAACCCCACTTCTTTCTTTCCCTAGCTATGGGAATCAGTAAAGTCAAGAAACAAAAATTTTTAGCTTGAAGTAGCATCCAAGGACATGAGCAAGGACAACAAGCAGAAAATCTGGCAGTTACAATTCAGTTCTATCACAGGACTTCTGTAACACTGCCTTCACAGGTCTAGTCTTCCCCACATACTTTAAGTTATTAAAACAGTTCACACCATTATGAAACACACACACAACCCTGTTAAGGTCACTTAAAGCATTACCGATTGTGCTTTATAGCTTGTGTCCCTATTTAAGGAAGAAAGAATACTGAAAATGGGTGGTTATCATTAAAAAGTATGTTCTTTACACACTCATATCTGTCACAAGTCTGTTGCTATTAGAACATCTCTTCAAGCACTGACAATTTTTCAGTAGCTCAAATAAAGATGTCTGAGATGCACATTATCAAACCCCTGGGAACTGATTTACAAAACAGTCTTATTAATCTAGGCATTGCTAATGCTGCATCTGCATCATTCCTCTTCCAGGTTGAAGATAAGGGGGATAGTACAGCAAAGACACAGTAGACCTTTAATAAACCGCTGAGCCCAATGCTGCCCTCAGAACTCAGTTCTTCTTCCTCTACTTTTTTCATGCCAGTCTTTCAAGGAAGCATTAGACACAAGTCAAAACACATTTTACACTTGATTTACACCTTATTTGTCCAACTGCCTTAATAGGGGTCAATCATACAACAGGCATAATTTTTTGGCATGTGTTTCAAGCCAATATATCATCAAGTAGGGCCCTGAATATACTTTAGCTTATCTTCAATACTGTGAATAGCAGAAAATGTTGGTTAAAATATAAAACAAACCACAGCCTTTTAAGATGCAAAGATGAGAACTGAGAGTTGACAAAATAAAGTCTGAGAGGTTTTTAATGTTTCCTTATGCATGGAAAGGGAAATTTCTCCATATTAAGAGTAACAGTCTGACAAATTTGCAGAAAATTTCAGCTAAACACATAATTGAGCAATCCAGTGCAGAAGAGTAAAACCAGCAGCACTATGCAACTGTAATGGTGAACACTGTTGGAACAGCATATCTCCGTCCAAAAGGCTGGTTCTCTGGTGCAGTAATTAAAAATTAAAAAATTAAAAAAAAAAAAAGAAAAAAAAAGATTTTACATAGATGTAAAGCAATGATGAATCAGGCTTTTTGACTGCACTCAGCCAGAGTTCTGAACTTTCCAGCGTGGACTTCCTTTACTAGAAGTTAATCTTAAATACCATGAATTAAGATGTTCTTCCCTCTTTAAGTAAGTATGCTTTGCAGATTGAAGATATCAATTCACAACTGTAGCTACTAAAGTCTTAATTACCACCTTTATATGCTGTACATGTCATCTCCACAGCATCTCTAGATTGTGTGTTCTAGAAAGGTTCCTCTAAATATGCACTATATTTATCTGCAACTTATCTGTAACTGAACCCAATGGGATAAGCAATAAATCCCTGCTGACACCAATTTTTAATTACCCATCAGAACTGGGTACAGAATTATCCATCAGAATGGAACTCTACAAAGGTCTGCCATGATATCACCAGATGATCTCACTGTTCACACAAATTTAGAAAGACATCTTTTGAACTGAAGGGCACTTTCTGTTCTCCTGTGCCTACGCCCTCCTAGCCCTTCATGCCAGGCTGCTCATGCCCTTCCCTCCTTTGCAGGGGAAACAGTAAAATTCACTGAACTGATTCCTTTCTGGTGTAATGACAAAATGATAACAAGTACTGTATGATGTGCCAGGCCGTCCTCCACTACACCAACAACTGGAGTTAAGCTGGAATTATGGTGGAGTTAAGGGGAATCTCATTGCTACCCAAGGAAGTGTGCAGTGCTTTAACATTTGCCATGCTTTAACATTTATTATCAATAATTTCATATTGAGTTTAACAACACATCAGCACTGAAGTCAACAAAAAGCACAAACATGTTAGTGGCAAGAAGCATGCTTCAAATCACATCACATATCTAGAAGTGTATCCTGACAGAGAGGAGGGATGCAATACACATTTCTTCTTTTAACTACATTATATATGAAAACAGTCTGAAAAAGCAAGATACTGAACAAGTCTCACTCAAAGAGTTAAAGAGGAAAACTGCGTTTTATTTTACAAGAACCTCATCATGCAACTGCATAGCTTACAAGTTCCATAAAGCTGTGTGAGAATTTAATCCTGGACTTCACCATGGAGCTCACTTGTGCAGACAGCCCTTTAGAAAGAGTAGAACACTTGTGACACTTGCAATACATCTCCCCAGGTGAGACTGCATGCTCCCTGGCTGGGGGAAGGGGAGGGGTCAGAATACAGCCTCTTATTTATTTGCTCTAAGTCACAGGTCAAAAACTCATCACAGGATTCCTCATCCTTAGCATTCTTATGCCCACTTTCTAAACATTAAAAAAAAGTAATACATAATATAGTCTATTGCAAGAGTTTAACCAAAAGACAACACAAGTGTGAGGAAAAAAATCTGCATTTAACATTGTTGAAAGAACCCTTGATAAAAGTCAAATGTTAGGCTAAACTCATTGTTCCCATTTTCTTCCATTTTCTCTGGTGAGAATGTGGGCATAAGTTTCAAAAAAACCTTACCCACAATCATATTACAGGCTTTTCTTTGATGACAGACAACATGTGGAATACTTCTAATCCAAGCAATCTAAGCTTGAATATTTGGGTTACTTCAAAACCAGGAGACAATTTGTAAAAAAATTTTAATGTTTTTTTATGAAGCACCAGATATCCCAAAATCATACAGGTAACAAGAAAAACCACAAGCATATTTCTTTAAAAGTATTTTATACATGTATCTTAAATGTAATATTTTGGAATGATGGCTTTTTTTTGTTCAAAATCTAGTATTTATTTCAGTGAATTGACAGAGATCAAAGTACATTAATTTGCACCAAAAGGGAAATCCATCAGAGGAAAATATTTATGAGATTTTAAGTTTATTGAGAAAAATAACATTCCTCCACTTTAAATAGCATGAAACTAAGATTTCATGTGAACAAATATCATAATATCAGAAAAGGCAGTTAATTAATAGGAACTACAGTGACTTACATTACTCTACACGTGGATGGATGCTCTGATAACAGGTTTGGAGTAAGGAAGAGAAAGCAGCTTCCCTGAAGACTTGGTAGTGAGAGAAGCTCCTTAAACATTCTCCATGTCAAGTCACAAATGATCTTATAAATATAATGACATGAGATGACTGTCACTTATTTCAGGCACCCATGCTGACTCTGACATCAAGGATAATTTCTTTTTTTAACAAGAAGAAACCCCAGCACAGATGCAGCATATTTGGGCTACTACAAGGTTTCAGATGACATGAAAGAGTCAGTCAGCATAACCTGTACCAATTAGAGCATGTTTAGATTTTAAAATAGCTGTCAGGAATAATTTTCAAAAATCATGGAATCTACCAAAAGATTCTACAGAGATCTGTATGAAGTACAGCACTACTATGTGATGAGCAACGAGAAAAAACACCCAGGCCCCAAAACCCACCTACACTTGAACATAAGAAAATCGAATGAGGGACAGAGGAAAGATTATCCTGGAGAGTGATAAGGGAGAGCATCGAGGCACTGTTGTGGACAAACAGTTGAGGGGGAGCTTCAGAAGCCTTGGAACAGAAAGTGAATTGTGTATGCAGGAAGGGGGCAGAGAGGAGATGTCGCTATTAATTATGGCATTAATGAAATTAATACTAAAATGTTGTCCCAAATTCTGGGCTCTGTATTACACATTGAAACCTCTTTAACTTCCAGTAAGGACTGGAAAATCTATTCAGGAGCTAGATGTCTTACAGTGAGAGAATCAGACCTCGCTCTCTTTGACTGTCAAGAGAAGATGACTTCAGGTCTATTTTTATTTCTTTTGATCCACAGAAATTCACATAAACAATTTAAAATGTTGGGATACAAACAGAAGACATTTTAAAGAAAATAACACAGTGATCAACACTTGCTTTTCAGAATGGATCAACAGTTTTTCTATCCATTTAGTAGCTTGACTTACCTCTTTTACACTATGTGTTACTGCCCATGTCAGGAAAACCCTTGACATCACTTGGAAAGCAGTCAGAACAACAGAAGAGGGAACAATGCCTGAAAGATATTTTGCAATTAGGAAAAAGTCCCAACTACCAGGGTGAGAGGTAGGGGTGGGGAAATAAAACACAGCTAAACCAAAGTCCAGTTATTTGAAATTTTTGGAAGGAAAGCATGTAATTTTTTTTAATTTGAAAGTATTAACTCCGCCCCATGGTATGTTTATACAGCCTAATGCAATGCAATCCCCTGACAAGACTTTCTGCATCAAAATGCAAATAAAAGTAATTGGTCTTGTTGCAATCTCAGCACGTTCCTTAATACAGGAATAAGATGAGATATCTTCAATCGAACAGCTTCTGGGATACAGTCTTTCAAATAAACCTCTTTGATTAAAATATCAAAGATACTCTTCATTACTGTGATTTAAAAAATAAAAACAATAAAGAAGTTTTGCAGAATATAACCCAAAAACCAGCAAGCAAAAAAGTATTTTGCAGAAACACTGATCAAGCCCATATTCTGGTAGATACAAAGTTTATGACTCCTTCCTGGAAATACAACTCAAAAAAACCCCAAACCCACAACAAACAAACCCCAAGAAACAGCTGATGCATTGGTAGGTAAAGAAACAACTTGAAGATTTCTCAAGGAAGCAGATATCACTGGTTCTTCCAAGCAAGTTCTGAGGTGCAGATTAAACTTCTAATAAAAGCACCCTACACACCCAGGTCTCACAGAGTAGGAATAGTTTTAGACTGCAAATTACACAAAATTTCTAAACTTTGCATCGAAAAGTTTTATTTGCTTCCAATAGCATGATGAAGATGAATGCAAGAGGAGGTACAGCTCCTAAGTAAAAAGTGCTTCTAAAACTAATGCAGATCACCACAAGCAACACAAAAAAGCCTCAGGAAGATGTCAAGACCAAAGTGGGAAAGTGGAAGAGGAAGAAAGAATAAGAAAATCCAAAAGCAAATTTCATTAGAATTATTTTAATTGAGATATTAGGCTTCTTTCAGAGTACAAAGAAAGGAAAATCCTGCAAACATAGTTCTCTCCAGTTTTATCACATATTGTTCATAATCTAATAAATGTTGTAAAACCTCAGGGCAGAATTGGTGTCCATTCTCAGACAACACTAAAGGGGTGCTATAAAACATCACAATCTGTACTTGTTAAAGGCTCTTTCCTATGAGAGTAACACACCTTTTCTTTTACACAATTGAGATCACCCCCTCCTAAACAAGACAGCCTATGTTCCTGCAAAGGAATCTATAAATAAGCCAAAATGACTGTGTAGGAACCATCCAAGATTATCTCAAGTTAGACAAACAAGGTTTTTCATTATAGCCAAGACAATGCCAATCTATGCCAAAAACAGAGATCAAAGTAAGTGACTCACCAGCTACAATTCATGTAAACTTTATTTGCCTCTAATTATTTACTCACTGCACTCAACAGGTACCTGACAGTCAATCTGAAGCTTGTTATTTTTAAAAACATCTGTCATCACTTGTACAACACTTCACATCCTAGAACAGTGCTTGACAGAGGTCTCAGGTCTGGAACCAGGAATCAATAAGCCCCGCCCAGACCTCTTCCAGATCCTGGACTAAGCCTCTGTGAGCAGAAAAGGTCTATGGCAGATTTTGGAACGTTTAGGATGTTCCCCCAAGTTCCTTAAAATGATCATCTCACTCCATGAGGATCAGCGTGGCCAAGTCAGATATGGCAATGCACTTTCTGAGCCCTTTCTAATAACTAATGGTGTGAAACAAGGCTGCGTTCTTGCACCAACCCTATTCACAATCTTTTTCAGCATGATGCTCCAAAGGGCCATGGCAGACCTCGATGATCAGGACGGTATCTACATTCGATATCGTACTGATGGAAGCCTATTCAACCTAAGGCGATTGAAGGCCCACACCCAGACCTTAAACCATCTTGTCCGGGAGCTGCTTTACGCTGATGACGCCGCCCTTGTTGCTCACACAGAAGCAGCCCTGCAGCATTTAACATCCTGCTTTGCAGATGCTGTTGAGCTCTTTGGGCTGGAAGTCAGCTTAAAGAAGACAAAAGTTCTCTATCAACCTGCACCTCAGGAAGTCTCCCATCATCCCCATATCACCATTGGCGAAGCAGAGCTCAAATCAGTCCAGCAGTTTAATTACCTAAGTAGTCTCATCTCCTCGGATGGTAAGATTGACGGGGAGATAGATAACAGGTTAGCAAAGGCGTACAGAGCCTTCGGAAAGCTTCATAAAAGAGTTTGGCCAAATAAACACCTGAAGACAAGTACAAAGATCAGTGTTTACAGAGCCATAGTGCTGTCTACTCTTTTATATGGATCTGAATCATGGGTCATCTACCGCCACCACCTGCGACTCCTAGAATGTTTCCATCAACGCTGTCTCCGTACAATCCTAAACATCCACTGTCAGATCATGTGACTAACACGTCAGTTCCAGAACAAGCACCAATCACAAGTATTGAGGTCATGTTACTGAGAACACAGCTGCATTGGGCAGGACACATCTCAAGGATGAAGGACCACCGCCTCCCTAAGATCCTGCTTTATGGTGAACTTGCCACCGGCTGCCGCAAGAGAGAAGCCCCAAAGAGAAGATACAAGGACTCCCTGAAACAACAACTCAGCCTCGGGCATATTGATCACCATAACTGGTCTACTCTGGCCTCCAATCGGGAGGCCTGGAGACACACTATCCATAACGCTGCTGCTTCTTTTGAGAAAGCACGCAGGATCACCCTTGAGGAGAAAAGACAACGCAGAAAGAATCGTGTCTTGCAGAATATATCACCTAAGGAGTCTTTCTGCTGTGCCTTTTGCAATTGGACATGTCTATCTCGTATTGGCCTTTTTATTCACCAACACACTTGTAACAAACGTGGGTAGAGCCCTTCCTGGATCTTCGTTCGCGAAGCCTGGCCATGATGATGGGTCCCTCCTCTTGGTCTCTGGGCTATGTGTTCCCTCCTTTCCATGTGAGCTCTCCTTAATTTTTTAAATCTTTGCCACATGTCAAAGCTCTGCTCTCAACCATGCTTGACAGATATTCCCCTATCAATCTTCATATTTTGAAGGACTTGCCTCACAGATGCTAACATTTCAGATTCTGCTGAAAAGATGTGGAGAGAAGAGTTATGCTGATACACACAGCCGTCTGACACAGATAAGCTCCTCTATTGACAGAGAATTACAGCTCTAGTTAGAGCAATTAGTTTAGTTGGGGCAAAGGAATCTGCAAATTGCCTGTTTCTCCTTGCATAGAAACTTTTGCCAGAGTCAGTAGGACTACAGCAAACATCAGCAGTGCATCCAGCTGCAAAAGCCCCTCTCTTTATTTAGCTGACAAATGTTTCCATTAACAGAAAAAAAAATCCATGGCCAGTTATAAGAAAATAAGTATTTTGTAAAAAAATTTCGTTAGCAAAAGTAAATAGATAGATTAATAATGGTATAAAATGTTGCAACCTTCCCCTAATGGCTCTCTTCACTAATATTAAATTGTGCTACTGAGGATAACATGGGCTAAATGGATCCACATCTTAAATCAACTGAGCCAGAATTATTAGTTTTGCTCACAGACAGGCTGGTATAATCATCTTGCTTGCTGTTCTGCATCAGCCTGGAAGGTGAAACACAGGACTTTCTCCTGCTATTCATTGATTTGTATGGACACAAGTATAAGGAAAAGATAATCCAATTAAATTTTTTACACTCTTAGATTTAGTACTAGTAAACACTGGTGTCTGCACACAAGTTTAGCTTAAGAAAATAGCAGAGCATTACTGATTTAGCACAGTAAAACCAGCATTTTATCTGCAAGGCTTTTTTCCCAGTATTCCAAGACTTAACTTGTCCTTCTTGTGACTTGTTAAACAAGACTTCAAAACTGGCACATTTTAATATTAATTTCTGAAAATTTTTTTTAAAGCATGGTTTATTCTTGTAAAAACCAGTAACTGAGATTTAGTTAAATTAAACAGCATTGTAAGGACTGCCTTGGCAGCACAGGCAAGTAGATGATACGTACAGATTACTCTAAGAAGCCTTTCCATTAATTTGAGGGGTATATATGATCATCCATTTCTTGGGATGATCTGTGCACAGCCTACAAACTGCCCTTTAAGACAGCGTTTTCAGAGCAACCGATTATTCAGGAGGTTCAGAACTACTTCATCAATTACAGAACCAGACTGCCCTCTGCTGACACATTCCTGTATACAAGTTTAAGTTCTCCCAACTACCTCACTTGGTTATTAAAAAAGCCCCACAGGAATTCAATATGAACCCACAATCTAACAGACCCTTCAGTATGTGGACTGTTTGTATAATACATGAAAAACAGCAAGTTAGTAGTTGCAGCTTTAGGAACCTTAATGCCATCCTACTCTTTAAATAGTGGCTAGTGAACACCCAGACAGGAGCTCAAGCACTGTTTTCTCACTAGGAAAAACTAGTGAGTTAAGCAAGAATTAAATCTGTCAATTCACAGACCATGACATTTTTTGTGCTAATACACTGCTAAAATTGTAGTCTTCTATAACAATAATAAACTGAAAATTTGCAAGCACTTACCAAGTGCACAGTGCAGGATCTAGAACAAAAAGAAAAATTCAAATCACTAATATTTCAAATTAAGCAATTTAGACACACATTTAGTTCTATTACAAGAGATTAAGATTCAACATTTGCTTTTCGAAGATTAAACTTAATATTTAGCTCTGCTGCCCATGCTAAATAGCAGACAGCAAGTTCCCTCACCACTCGCTAAAAGGAAAAATTCAGTATTTGTCTGAGGTGTATTTCTTATGTTTACTTTCAAATCACTCTATAAAGGCTAATGAAAAAAACAGATACCTAGAAGGCACTGTCCAACACAGGCTGCCCTATTTCTACTGAACAACACATTCATGCAAACATTAGTAACACCAGGGAAGAGCACTACACCTACCTCAAGCAACGCTCCAGTTTGGAAGAATTTCAGGGGCTTTTCTATTGAATAGTAAAGGCTGTGGTAGCTGCCTTTAGCCAGGTATGCCCGAACGAGACCAACTGCAATAACAAGCCATCTGAAAGCGAGAAAAAATGTCTTAACATAAGGAGACATTAAGCAGAGCATAAATACAAAAAAATCCTTAATTCCCCTTGCAGTATCTGAGAAAGCAACAGGTATAACTGTCCTGAAGTATACTAACTTTTGCCTACCCTCTGCAACACTGAAAACATTAAATACCTGAATATTCTGCAAATTTATCAAAGTTAGAGATCATGCATTTTTTAACCATCTTTCAGCACCAACATGATAACCAATACCTTTAATGTTTTGGTTTATTTTTCAGTGAGCTCTATTTAATTTAGTTATGGAATGCATTTGTGACAGATTAGCATCACATTCTCTTTAGTTTAAGCAGAAAACCATTGACAGCTGGTCAAAGATCTCTTATCACACCGTAACTAAAGATTTAGAAGGTGTTCATTTTAATGTTTCATTTCAAAGTAGATCCCTAGACTTTACGACAAGTCATCCAGCTTAATTGGTAGCATATATTATATGAGAAATAGTTATAGATAAATAACTACAAGGAAATTGAACCTGCTAAAGCCTTGAAGGCAGCACAGCCATTCCTGTCCTAGCTTTCCTTTTTAACCACAAATATATCTAGACTTGTGTAAGTACTATGTGTATAACTGCAACTGTACCTTGAACAATATGACCTGCTAACCCTGCTGATTTTCCCCTCAGGTAACTTAAACAAACCTAAAAATTTTTTGTCCTGGCCAATGGTGTAACACCTTTCACTACCACACACAGAAAAGTCAGGGTTTGCCCATAACCTCAGAAATTCTTTAGTGAAGCCTATGGCAAGCCACAAAACTGAAGTGAGTGGTCAAGTCTGGTCAAACACTTTTTCATTTGAAATTAGCATCTATAGTTAACTTTAGTTTCCAATTGCTCATGGCAAACAGGGGGAGAAGTGGTTGGTCAATAAAAACTGGGAAATCCTTAACAGGGGCTTCCGAACTTTTCACAGGCTGATCCTGGCTGTCTTACTCTCAGCTACTTTTAATGCCACCACCTACTTCACCTCCCTCCACACCCCTCATGGTTAGTCACTAAGTGTCTCTGCTAAGAACAATCTACCTCAGTGGAAGTGTGTGTAGACATGCAGCAAGCCCCCTAACTGTGCAATAGTTTTTACCCTTCAGAAAAAAAGCCTGCAGTTTTGGTTTTGTAACAGGGAAGATGAAGCCATTCCCTTCATTTACAGTATATTAGAGTCTTACAAGTATCCCATTAGCTTTGGTATTGCGAAGTATATACAAATATTATCCCAGATGTAGTAATTGTTTGAAACACAGAGTGAAGTTCAGATTTTTCAATAATAAGTAACTCTGGCATCCAAGTTTGTGTTGGTAATAACATCTGTTAGCAGAAGTGAAAGAAAGCTAATTCATTTCTGCCTCAACTTCTTGAAGACGAGCACGAAAGAAAAGCAGGAGTGGGGAAGACAAGTGGAAAACAGAAATAAACCCTCCCTTTTTCAGACTGACAAGTTATTTCTCTTAAAGCTGTCTTGTGAAACCAAAGGGCAAACATTTGCTGAGTAACTGCTGCTTACAAAGAATGAATCAGATTAATTTTGTATTTGGACCTCAGTGTAGAATAAACCAGTAAGCGCTATAGTATTAGTGATTCTCCCCTGCAACACTGACTGCTGCTTCTTTAGAACAGGAAATCAGAGCAGGTTGACACTGTTCTGTTCTTATCTGTCAAGTTTCTCTGTTTTTCCTGATCTTCCATGTTTGTTGAGAAACTTGGCTGAATTGAGCAATTTCTCCAGTTGCACAAGACAACAGTTCTTGATTGTGCCTGTGAGCACCTGGTGAAGTCGATGGCTCCCAGAGGAGCTCCAGCCTTTTACTCATCTCCACCCTCCTGCCAGGTCACTGACTCCAGAAAGACTGTACTTTTTTACTGTCCTTCAAAAAGCATTCAATACAGACCAAAGTATTAATCCGTACAAAATTAAAAGCTGAGCCTAGTTTGTGCTGAAGCTTTTAGTACCTCTGTCCTGCTTCTGTGATTCTTAAATAGTTCTTCACCCTCTATGACTGGAGAAAATGGAACAGAAGGTGAAAGCAAGGAGTATCAGCTGAAAATTAAACTGGGCAAGGAGTTTAAAAGGGGAGCAAAGGCACCACTGTGCCATGGAAGCTAAGCTGTAAGATAGTTTTTCCAGCTTTCTCTGACCTAGACTCTGAAGCCTACCTGATACACCAGGTGGAGTCACATTTTATTAAATTACCATTGGAGTTACATTTCATTAAATTACTGCTGCCATGCCTGTAAACTTCAAACCAGATTATTAGACTTTTTGATTAATCCAAACTAAGAAAAATGAATACTGCATACACGCAAATTTCTTACTTTCAGTTGCTCGGACTTGACAGACAAGCTTCATGCTTAGGTCCTTAGTGCAACTCCCTTTATTTCTCTCACAGTTATAAAAAGGCATTTTCTTATGCAAAGTTTACTGAGGTTCTGCATCATTTATGCAAGAGAATACAGCAAAGCTATGCAGTGAGTGCACCTGCAAAGGGAGAAGTGCACTTTGACTCTTCAACAACCACTCACTGAAGACGTGGACAGCGAAACTCATAACCCTGAACTCTATTTGCTCACCACTGATTAACACAAACCCTTGCAAATTCAAAAGCTATTACATTATTGTCTGTCTTTTTGACTGAAATCCTTCCAAAATTCCTTGTTTATACCACCATCAGCTACTTACACCCAGAAGTACCAGTTAGTTATGGCACTTGACTAAATATAAGAAACATAATCACCTTTTAAAGCAGCTTATCAAACTTTTACGCTCAACTCTAACAGCATGCCCTCCCTCCCTGCCCAGCACTATTCAGTGATTTCAGTCAACCACAGTTTTTAGAAAACAATTTCTACGCTGCACCTGTGCCTCCAGAATGAGCTTCCTATGCCAGGTCAGGCATGACTACATGGCTCAACATTGGGGTGGGAACACAGTCTGACGGAATGCAAGAGAAGCAATGAAGAGCTTTCTGCAGCTTAATGGTTTGAACCTTGGGCAAAAAAACCCAAGAACCACCTGCCAGACTGGTTATTCCCTGTTGTGCCATGTTGGTCCCTTTTCTGAAAGAAAACACCCAAAACATGTGAACCAGGTGGTAAGTGTACGCAGCTCCATTGAGGGATCCACAGGTATCCATACTTTTTCTACTGTTTTGCTCTTGTAAAAGCCATCGTATTATTAGGAAACCATATCCTACATGCACTACAGTATAAAATTAGAAATAAGATCTATTATTTTTGGAATCAGTTGTGTTTTCTTAAGCTCAGTCAAGATAAATGCAAAGTAAATACATTAACTATGCCGAGATTTTTTAATTGTTACTTGATCCATTTTGAATAAAGCTAATAACTAAGGCAACTATGGTTTTAAAACATTTCCTTTAGTACCTATTTACTGCACAACAATGTTGTTATGTGCTTCAGTTTATAAGCCACCCTTTTGTAAAACAATACAAACCACTTACAAAATCCCTTGTGCTTTTACAGCATCACTTCATCATCTGGGCACCTTCAATTTTTTGGTGTTTTGTTTTCACAATTCTCCTTCCAAGGCAGTGCAGTTTAAGAAACTAAGTCTGAGCACTGACTGACACAGGGTCAGTAACTAATCCATGCCACCAGCTGTATATCAATCTTTTCATCTGAACAACTGAGCTTCTGTCAACCAACTCCTAAAAAACCACCTTTTTAAAAGACTTCATAATAAGAAGAAACTAACTGAGTTTTTTCCTAAACTCAACGTTGTATATTGTGGAATTTCAACAGTGTCCAGGGGAAGCACAAAATCCTCGTCCATTGTAAGACAAATTATCAGTCAAGAGCTCCCAGTGACCTACACCAAAAGAAGGGCAGTGAGAGACAATGCAGAGATACAAACTCCTATGGTAGCTCCCCAAATTGCAGAAATCATCTAATCACAAACATGCCCAGAAAAAAGTAGCTCATGTTTAAGCACCATAAGCCACATCCCACCCAAGATTGACATTTTCTAGGAGGTTTGGTATAAATCAGGAATTTACATGACAACAGGAAGCCAAGTACAGATTTGTGCTATTTATTTCTGAGTTTCTAACAGTTGAATTTGTTTGAATTTTTTCTTCTAAGAAATAGAAATTTCCCACGCTCAGGAGCTTGCCTGCCATGATAAAAAGTTCACGACCCCTAAAGAAACTTTCTATTTATACCTCAGCTTCTCTCTCGGATTTTTGAGATCTTTATAAATGTAAGTGAAACGTATATAAGCAGCAAAATCAGCAGGTAAATGCTTTTACTTCTAAGAAGAGTTCAGAGAGGTGAACTTGTTAACATTGTGCAGGGTCACCACAACAAAACTGAAAAAACTGACTGACTGCTTGTACTATGTTATACTACTCATGTAATTAAGTATTTCTGAAAGAAGGAATTCACTTAAATCAAGCTGGTGGGTAATTATTATTCCCCTGTGGGTGAAATACCCTGTAAATATCATATGAAGCCATAAACCTGCTTAGCAATAGCACTTCACAGAAACATGGATATTGGGTAACGGGTGCAACAAACACCTCACAAGAATTGAGCTCTTCCAGCTCAGCTACCTTTGCTCCACACAAGTGTACCTACCTTGTAAGCTGAAACAGCACCAGCTGTCACCAGCAAAGACAAGAATCATCATGTCCAATTGCCTTATTACAGTAAATTGTATCTATATTAATTCTATGCTAACCTTCCACCAAAATAGTGAGAGTAGTCTTAACTTCTCACTTGCTAGGATTTATCTAGTAGAAAACAGGCTCATTTAGGATCCATTTTAAAGGCTCCTTTCTCCTCCCACCCAAATATCCTTGATCTTTCAAAAGATGGCTTTATTTTTATCTAGATTCCAATAAGACACCACTGCCACTTTAAAAAAAAAAAAAAGGAGTAGTCTCCTTTAGCTCAAGACTCTCCAGTTGTCACTATTTTTATTTTTGTGCCCAAGAACACACCTGTACAAGCACCAACCAGCCCCAGCCTCCACTGTGCCAGGCAGGGGAGGGCAGAGCACCAAGCTGGCCAAGGAGCTCACATGTCGCAAGCAGCAGATTTCAACCTCAAATTATGGAGCAGCTGAAGGGTTCATGGGGAAATCTCACAGGGCTCAAGAGCTTTGCCTTTTTAACTACTGCTGTGGATAAATTCCCTGTGTTTGGGTTCACCTCTCAACTCAAAAGTGCTGGAGTCCACACCACAAACGTGGTGATGTGGGAACAGCAATCTATGGTCGCCTGGATGCAAATATTATCACAGAGCAAATTAGGGTGTCAATTATAAAACAGGGCAGTTCCCAGAGAACACGCACTTGTGCTGTTCCACATACCTGGTTCAGGAAGGGGCATAAGAAAGAGGACGAGCTGCGGAGGGGGTCGGACAGCGCTGAGCGGGGTCACACCTGGCCAGGAGCTGCCGAGGCCTCGCACAGGCTGGGCAGGGGCCGCTCCAGGGGCAGGCCCGGGGGACACCCGGGCAGCCAGCCGGGATTATTGTCCGTGTGGGACGGGGAGAGACGGGACAGCGGGACAGCAGCTGTGCGTGTGCGTACGGGAGCCCCCCTCTAGCACCAGGAGCAGCGAGAGAGGGTTCGGCTGTGGTTTTCAGCGTCACCCAAAGTGCGAGGCAGGACCACCGACAGCACGGGGCACACGGGGCACAGCCACGCGTCCGCACCCGGGCGCTGCAGCCGCACGGGCTCCGGGGAGGGCGGCACGGGCTCGGCAGCTGGAGAGGCCCCATTCCCCTGCCTGGACCCGCTCCCTGCGGCGCGGGGGACCTGCCCTGCCGGCCCCACACGCGGCCGCAGCCCGGCCGAGCTCAGCCCCGCGCCCCGAGCGGCGGCCCCGGCAGGGGACACCCCGCGAGGGCGGCCCCGCACGGTCCTTACCCCGCCGTCATCACCACGTTGTAGATAACGAGGTAGCCCGTGGCCAGCGCACCGGGGCCCTTCCTGCGCCTCGCCTGCTGCCCGCCGTACCCGTTGTCCGCCCGGCTCCCGCCGCACCCGGCCGCCGCCATGTCGCGGCTCCCGCGGCTCCGCCCGCTCCCGGCGCCACCGCGGGGCGGGACTTCCCGCCGTGCCGGGGCGCTCCGCGCAGCCGCCGGGAAGGGCAGCGGTCCGCAGGGAAGGGCAGCGTTCCGCGGGGGAGGGAAGAGCAGTTGTCCGCGGGACACGGGTCCAGCAGGAAACGCGTGCCCCCGAGCCGGGCGCGGCGGGGCCGCCTTCCCGGGAATCCCACTGGGTGATGGTTCCCGTCCGGGGATCAGCGACCTGTGCGGTCGCTTTCTAGGGAACGCTCAAAATGCCCCGCTTCGGGGAGAAATAGGTCTGCCGTGTCCTTAGAGGCATCAATAGCGTTAGTTGTCACGGTCGGGTTATTTTTGGAATATTTAGTAGGTTTTCATCACTTTTATGGTTTAGTCTAGAGAGGAGAGGACTGAAAAGGGATGTCATTAATGCATATAAATGTCTCAAAGGCGAGCGCCAAGAGGATGCTTGCCAGGCTCTTTTCGGTGGTGCCCAGCGACAGGATAAGGAGCAATGGCCATAAACCAAAACACAAGAAGTTTCACCTCAACATGAGGAAAAATTTCTTTCCTTCATGGTGGCAGAGCTCTGGAACAGGCTGCCCAGGGAGCGTGGAGTCTGCCTCTCTGGAGACATTCCAAACCCACCTGGACACATTCCAGTGTATCCTGCTCTAGGTGACCCTGCCTTGGCAGGCGGGATGGACTAGATGATCTGCAGAGGTCCTTCCAACCTGAACAATTCTGTGGTTCTGTCTGTGAATAAGCTGCTGAGCACAGTTCTGGCTGTAACTCATTTCCTGCTGAAGTTCCACACAAGAGCAAAGCCTGCAGAGCGTTAACTTTCCCAGCAACACCCATTCAAGCATCCTTCTTGGGGCAGACAGAACTGCCTTTCTAGAGAGCTATAATGGAAGAATTTTTATTTTTTTTCCCTTACAGAAATTGTAAACACTCTCTGGGGTTCCTTCTCGACTTCCATAAACAATTCTCAGTTTATTTCCCGTGCATGTCATGGTGCAGTCCCTTTATGAGCAGTGCAGAATAACAGCATAAGCCTCACTTCCCATCCCAGCAATACGTGAGTATTTATGTGGCCTAATAAAGTCATGGCATTACGTTTCTTGCAGGCAGTAGGGCTCAAAGTGCAAAGATGATTGATGAGAATTCCATTTTCAAACACCAATATTTTAGTGCAATGTTTCAATAAATTTTAGAGTAGCAAATCATTCATTATTCATGTATGCAACTAAAAAAAAAAAATTCAACCTTTTCAAAGCCTGGCTGTCACTGCAGAGGAGAGGACTGTGAAGTTTGGTGCTGTCTTCCTTGTGACTAAAGGGAAGCAGCAATCCAGCAGTCTGCATGCCACACACACAAGTAGCAAAGGTGTCTTCCATCAACCAGAAATATGCACAGGATGCTTGGGTGGTTGGACAGGCCAGTCATTCAGTAAATTAAGTTTCGGCAAATCCAGAAACATGACTACTGAAAAACAGCAGCCAGTCCCAAATTGTCCATGTTACTTGAGAAGACTGAATGTTATACAAAAGAAATAGAATTAAATGGTCCATCTTGGGCAGTACCAGTGTCTTGCATACCTCTGATACTGGGGATTATTTCAACTCCATGAGCCCCCAAGAGTGGCTTTCTGCAAACATTATACAAGAAAGACAAGGTTTATAGAAAGAGGTTATGCCTTTTATTAGGCCAATTAGGATGGCTGAAAAAATGAGACAGGGTTTCAAGTATATAAAATATCTTTCTTCAGTGGAAATAGAATTCTGTTGTTCAAACAAAACAAAAAAATTCGAGGTCAGATACAGGTTGGAATCAATTGCTCAGATCTGAATTAGATGCGTATCATCTAATTTTTGAAGTAGAAGTCATTATTTCCTGCAGACTAGAATGGACGTTAATAGGAAGAAACGGGGAGATGGTAAGCTCCTTGGGATATCCTTGGGGCAAAGGAAAAACAGGCAATTTATAGGTTGTGGAACCCAAAAGGACTAGTAAGGTACGAGAGGGAAAGGAAAATCTGTGCAGGAACACCAATACTGAGTCTGTGGGTTTTGATACCCACTACATGTACCCACAGACCTTGCTGTACCCACAGAGCAGCCCATCAGAGCCAGACCTTTTCCTGGTTCATGCATGTGCCTACCTGGACAGAAATCAGCAGTCACTGTATAAAGTCAGGTACATTCACAAGACTCTGAGGCACATCTTGCAAAGATGACTGAAGGGCTGAAGATTTGCTCAGAAACATGTTTGTACAAGCAGGGTGTTTCACAATCTTTGCTTTAGGGAGTTTCTGTGTGGTCCTGCAGGGTCCGTAGTGTCTAGGACTGCATGCGAGAAAAAGTCTGGATAAAAGCAGCACAAGCAGACTTGCCTTTATCTTCATCTTTACAGCTTTTAGGAACATTGGTGTAAGCCCACATCTACAATGAGACTTCCCTCATTTTTTTCTCTCTTGCTCTTACACTCCTTCAGATCTACGTTTCCCCACTTAAGGGAATTCTCAGCTGTAAAACAAACCCACAGCTGTCATGGTGCCCCATCCACGTTCCCACTGCTGTTCATTCTGTGTGTGATGAGGGATGCGATGAGGCTGGAGATGTGCGGAGCACATGGCTACGAGTGCCAGCCCCAGGCTGTACCTGGGGGACAGAGCAGCCTCTGCACAGCACCAGCCTGCACTGACAGGGCAGGAGAAGTGCAGCAGCACCACAGAGGTCAGGGAGGCTTCACTGTTATCACCTCATCCATTTGTGTGCCCAGCAGCTCTCAGGACAGAGCGGGAGGAGACGCGTAGCCAAGGTGAGCGTAGTGACGCCTGCAACAGAGTATACGAGGAGCGTGCTTTGTGGTAGTATTTATTTAGGAACCGTGAGTAACTACAGCCGTAGCGGTCTCATCTTTGCAATTCTGATGGTTTAACAAACAGAGAGATCATTAGCATATTTTTATTAAGGTACAAAATACACCCCGTTGTTGCCTAAAACATTTAAAAAAAAACAAACGTGAGGAAAGCTCTGTATGCTCTAAATCAGATTCACAACCTTTCTGTATAAGGAATTGTGGCAATACTGTGTTTAGTATAACAAGAGGTTTTCATCAATCGAAAAGGAAAAGACATGCTGGCAATCTGAACTTAGCAACAAAGAGTAAAGCAGTTAAAAACCATCGTGTCATCCACATTAACTGAGCTTTGAATGTAGAAGAGCAAATCATATGAAACACATACACAACTAGGTAATATCAAACAACCTAAGGCTGATAATGTACACACCTGTATTAAAGTACACTGACTACTTAATGGTGAGGATTTAAGGTAATGTTTTTTTTTAAAAGAGGTAACCTTTGAAATGCAAATGGTTGCACTTTACACACAAAAAGTGGAAAAGAAAAATAATCGCTTTTGGAATGATACATAGATATAAGACACACTGGTTTTGGATTGTGCATATCACCTTGCAGCCTCTGATATTACCTCTGAACAACAACAAAAAAAATTAAAAAGTGCCAATACTGTGAAAAGAAAGCAAAGTTACTAAGTCTGAGTGCATTAACAATTTCTGAGGAAAAAAAAAAAGGGAGTTGGATTTTTTTTTTGTTTTGTTTTTTTGCGCCTTTAAAAAACGCAACAGCCTTACTGGTGCAGGTTCAAGACAAAAACAAGACAGTCAAGCTCATAAGGTAGAAATAGGTCCTATATAGGTTAAGATTCTTTGGAAACTGCTAAGTATAGAGGAGTTTGTAATCCAGGCTACTATCTTTTTGGCTACTCCAAAAATCTGTGGGAGTTTCCAGCTTATCATCAGTTGAAATCTGTTTTGCAATTTCTAAATATATGCAAGTAAAACTTTAACTAACTTGTGATTCCATTCACACACATGCACAGAGAAGTCACTGATTGTGCAATAACCTGATTTTTCACAGCAGCATATATATGAATCATTATTAGACTGACCAGAAACACAGAAAATATTCTCAGTCTTTATGTTTTCAGTCTGTTTCTTAAACAGGCAGCTGTAACTGCGTGGAAGTGACAGGCTCCATAAGGGAAAGATGACAAAGTGTGATCAGCTGGCTAAAAGCAAGATCGGGAGTATCTTGGGAAACCACCTGGATGTTTAATGTTTGCCAGTATTACAACAGCACTAACAGCACACTGACAAAGGGCAGCAAATGTGTTTGAAGTTAGGAGGACTGTGAGATTCTGCTTAAAGCAAATGAAAAATGAACCATGCCAACACACAATTGCAATGCTGGCTGTGTCAAACCTTCCCTTATAGAAGATACAGCTCAGGGAGCAGCCTATTCCTTAGGACTGGAGAGATTCACTGCATGTCTGGCCAATGATTCCTTGTAAAGTATATCTTGGGGAGCCAACTTAGCTGGAGTTTTGGCTGAGGAAAGTGATGATGTAGAGTAATGAGCTCAGTAAATAGACTATTTTTCTTTAAGATGTTCAGAATATAAATGTAGTCTTGTTTTCCATACATTTGATTTTAAAAATAGACTGGGCAACTTAGTTGATGATTTGCTTAAAGTCAATCCAATCATGCTGGCAACTTAAAAGCGCCTGCTGATTTGAATTAATGCCCACAGATAAAGCAAACAGGTATCAACTGATCATGCTGAAATAACATTCCCCCAAAGACCTACGTATCACACAAGGTGCTTTTGATAACTTGGTTTTCTGAGCCTTATAAGGAGAGTCTTTAAATATATTTTTTCTTTTTTTTTTTAGCCTTGTTTCATTCTTCCTCCTCCTCATCTTCTTCTTCTCCTTCTCCTTCTTTTCCCATTGTTTCCACAAGGAGCTCTGCGGTGCACGTGGCTTCCCCAAGGCTGTTAACAGCTTTGCAGGTGTATTTGGCATCATCGTCCCCACATACTTCAGAAATAGTCAAAGAACAGTTCCCTTCCTCATCATAATCTATCTGGAAGTGACGGGACTCCTTGACAGGCTGATCATCCTTGTACCACATTACCTCAGGG